AAAAAAAAAAAAAAAAAAAATCCCAAACAAACTAAAACACACCCGCTCCACACATACATACTCCCATCTGAAAACTAACAGAGTCACAAAGAGAAGTAAATTTAGTAGAAAAGCATGCATTCACTTACTTGAGCACGTAGCAAAGTGTAGTTCCACAATGGTATGTGTCTGTTGTGTATCTTTGGGTTCAGTAGCGCATCCACAGACCTGAGACCGGAATCATTCACTCTGATTACTTCCTTTTACTTTACAGTGTCCATGTCGCAAGTCAAACATTATTTTACTATCATTCTATATGTGTTAAATAATGGGAACCCTAAAAATAAGTCACTCTGTTTCTGGGCAATAAGTTTCAGTAGCAGTTAAGATTGTGATTGTTCAAATCCCAATCCATTACATCAGTGACGAAATTGTGGGGACTGACTTAGTTTCTTAGTTTTGTAGAGTTTTTACGGCGCTCGCAACTGCATACGGTCATATGAGCACCAAGGGGTGGATGTCAACAGAGAAGTCCTTAAAGCGAATCAGGCGTACTCTGCTCACCCCTCTAGCTCCAACAGCATAAAGTCTGCTTCGACTATCACGGCATCCCGGAAATAGCGGGTCACAAAAGTGTGACAAACATATAAAAGAAGTAGAGGAAATTGAGGATAGTAAGGATTATGAAAGAAAAAGCATCAGCTTCCTGTTGCAGTTCAGGCACAGTTATGAGCAGGGCATCGATGAATCAGCCCATTTACAATATAACTGTGCACAAGAACATGTTAATGTCCCCCCTTTGGGAATGGTCTAAATACACTTCAGTCAGTAGCACTGCCCCGGGGTAGGGGGGGGGGCTGACTTGCTGCTCGCTAATAAGGGTTACTGGGCACAGCAAAGTATTGTCGACGAGAAGGCCAGGCCTACTTTACACCGAATGTATTTCAGAGAAAAAGCAACTACAGGGTGATCCAAATAAAAACTTTACAACTTTTTTTCCGAATATCTCGCGCAAAAATTGTTCTAGAATGCTGTAACTTTGAACAGACATAATTCATTCAAAAGGAATTTGTTTGGTGTAAAATCCACGAAGAAGAAACATGTTTTGAAAACGGAAACGGATAAAACTGTCCTCAGAGAAAGATGCATTTGAAAATAGCAAAAGTTGCAAGAAAAATCAACAGAAGTTGCAAGAAAAGTTGCAAGACGTGTATAGCTAAAATGTCATGGAATTATTGGAATACATTGTTGGTATTCTCATTGCAATCAAAGTAACCAACGTGAGTTTTGTTGGATCGAAATCAAAAGTTAAATGTGAATTGCTACCATACCAAAAAAATATTTAAAAAATAAAATAAAAACCTAACTGCATGGAGGTGGCATAGTGTGCATGTGTCAGGTTCTTAAACTTAAACTCCCGCTGACGTTGGGCCGGTGTGACCAGCGTGGTTTTGGGGTTGTTCAAATAAAATC